GAATGGTGATTGTGACCCCTCACATATGTCCTGTACGAAAGACATATTCTGTATTCACTTGGTGCAGTTGGATCTTGAATCAAAGAAACTACTAAAGCATGGTGCTGAGATCATTTGAGTTGCAGTGTGCAGCTTGCAGTCGTCTTAAAATCTTTTTTCCCTTCCTTCAGACCCGCAAAATTCTGTCTGCCTGTGAGAAGAACCCCACGGATGCCTACCAGCTCAATTACGACATGCACAACCCTTTTGACATCTGTGCTGCATCCTACCGGCCCATCTACCGTGGAAAGCCAGTAGAGAAATGTCCGCTCAGCGGGGCCTGCTATTCCCCTGAGTTCAAGGGTCAAATCTGCAAGGTCACTACAGTAAGTACCATCCTCCAAAAGTGCATCCGCGATATTGAGAGAAGAGGAAAGAGAAAGAGGCATGTTGGTCCTTTTTTTCTCCTGGATTTGCCTCGAGCTCCTTGGGGCAGCAGTATTGAAGAAAGCTTGAGCTACTCCCACTGCTGTTTACTGATGAGTCACAGACATTAACAGCGTACTTTCCTGTGCTCCCTGAGGACCGGAGGGAGTAAGCTTTCTGGGTTACTCGCCCTCACAGATCCCTAACTTTTCCCTCCATCTCCTTTTCCGCAGGTGACAGAGATTGGCAGAGACGTCATTGGTTTAAGGATCAGCCCTCTGCAGTTCCGTTGAGGCCCCTTTGGTGTGTGCAGGTCAATCACCATATTTTCCTCCGGAGAAGCAGCATCTCTGTCCTTCTAGCGCCTTCTTCCTCAACTACCCTTCAAATTATTGACATTTAGATCACCTGCTCTAAGACCTAGTATGCCTTTCTCGTCTTCTATGAGTAATCAAAATGTCTACACTATTTGTCAGTGTCTCAAGGTGACTACAGTTATGATCACAGTTGGTCTTGCCTTCCCGGCTGCTTAGATCTTTCAAGAAATAAATGAAGACTCAGTGATGCACATTTGCTTACTAAATTCCTTCAGCATTTATTCTTTCCCTCCCCATCACCTTTGTATCTTCTTTTGGAAAGAAGCAGGGTGTCTGTCATAAATAAATAAGATCCCATCTTTTGCTCAGCCACAGCAAACTCTTGCCATCCCCCGTTTATCTTGGACCTTCCAGGCAGGTACCCTCTGTGTGCCCAGAAACTTTAAAATGTGAGAAGAAACTTGTTTTCCAAAAATTCACGTCACCTTTTATTGAATTGTTCTCTATACCCATTGTTCTTGTGTTTTGTTTCTCACCCTTAATAAATTTCTTAAGAGAATTTTGTGACCCCATTTGTTTCTCAGACACCCTCATGTTCCTATTCCATGCAGCTGCCTCCCCAAAGCAGATAGCTTTTTTTAATTAAAAAAGAAATAAATGCCCATTTTTAAAGCATATATTATTCACATATTAAACTGAGAGTGTAGAAAACAAGTAGCTCCCCTGTTCCATTACTGAGGGAAGCCTTCCCCCTTTTGCTAGTTACAGCCAGTGCCTACTGAGCTGTTTTAGATGTTTTACAGGTTATTCACGTGTGTATATTAATTAGTAATACAATACGTTGTATTATCTTACAGTGGTTACATTGGCAATACAGTAGTTTGCTTGTGGCTTTAAGACTACAGTTGGGGGATCCCTGGGTGGCTCAGTGGTTTGGCGCCTGCCTTTGGCCTAGGGCGCGATCCTGGAGTCCTGGGATCGAGTCCCACGTCGGGCTCCCGGCATGGAGCCTGGTTCTCCCTCCTCCTGTGTCTCTGCCTCTTTCTCTCTCTCTCTATCATAAATATAAATAAATTAAAAAATAAATAAAATAAGACTACAGTTGAATAGAGTGATATATTGTGCTTGTGATTACAGTTTGTACCTTTTTTCATTTTAAACTCATGTTTTCAATAAAATACATTCATCTAATTCAAAACTCAGTAAAGGTAATAAGTATTGTGACATCCTTCTCCCACTCTTTTCCTCAGCTACCCAGTTCCTGTCGCCTTCCTCCAGGAGCTGCTCTTTGGGCGTCCTTTTACGTACCAGCAGTTTATCTGTGCACTAGCAGATAGAAATACGTTCTTCACTGCTCCCCTGCTCTACATAATGCAGCACGATACTAAATCATTTTGCACCTTGTTAGCTTTATCATGTACCATATTTAAGATATTTGTATCGTATATTAGCTTCCCTTGCTTTTCTTCTCTGCCTAGTGTACCTTTGTATGATTTACTATAGTTTATGTAAATTGTCTGCTTTGTTGATGGGTATTTGGATTGTTTTCCACCTTTGGCTATTATAAACAGTGCTGCAATGAGTAACTTTAACATACATTGTACAGTTTAGGGAAGTGTGTCTGTAGGACAATCTCCTCGAAATGGAATTCCTGTGTCAGAGAGCACAGGCCTTGGTGTTTTTTAGCTTTAAAAGTTGCTTGCTTAAACTTAGTATCCCCAAAGTTTGCCTCCTCAAGAACTTGCATACTGCTTTGATGACATTCTCAAGCTGTCAACATTCTTTCTGTAAACAGAGGCAAGTTGGTGATAAATTTTGGCAAAAAAAAAAAAAAAACCCACAAAATACTTTTTATAAGTTTAAAAGTTATATTACAAAACTTCATTTATTTAAAGATTTTATTTATTTATTCATGAGAGCCACACACAGAGAGAGAGAGAGGCAGAGACGCAGGCAGAGGGAGAAGCAGGCTCCATGCAGGGAGCCAGATGTGGGACTTGATCCTGGGTCTCCAGGATCACGCCCTGGGCCAAAGGCAGGTGTTAAACCACTGAGCCACCCAGGGATCCCCTCAAAACTAACTTTTTTTTTTTTTTCAAAACTAAATTTGATACAAAGATAAACTTTATTCTGAACTGAGGGGTATAACAAAAAGGAGGACAATCTATGCTTACTGAAGCTCAAGTTGTTGGGGAAACAAAATGGATAAATGTAAAATAACTGTGAATATCAGGCAAGAATTTGCAGTTGGGCATAAACAATGAAGAGCCATTAAGTCCTTAAGTGAGAGGATGGTATAAAGAAAATGCTGTAGGGGTGTCTGGGTGGGTCAGTTGGTTAAGGGTCCAACTCTTGATCTCAGCTCAGGTCTTGATCTCAGGGTTGTGAGTTCAAGCCCTGTGTTGGGCTGCATGCTGGGCATGGAGTCTACTTTAAAAAAAAATGCTGTAAAATACTATTTTGCAACAGTATTCAGTATACATTAGAAAGGCAGGAGATGAATAAATGTGGAGATGAGGTTTTAGGAGTATCCCTAGTGAGAGAAAAGCAGAGCAAGTTTAAGAAATGAGGCAAAGGAAGAATCATGTTTGTTTTCAACTTCATGTTTTCTCATTTATTTCTGGTAGTTTGCTTATTAACATGCTAATGTTACCACATTAATGTGAAGCCAATAGAAATACCTGTAACATGATTGATGTAACTATAGTCACATTCGAAAGACACATGTAAGTGGTTTGGAGTTGACGGAGGGAAGCCTGGGATAGATTCTGCAGGTGTTGGGGAGAAGGATCCAGAGGGATCCCTTATGGAAATTTAGAATTGAAAAGAACTTCAACGTTACATAGTTGCCATCTGAGGCCTTGAGTGGTGAGGAGTTTTGAACAAAAGCAGTTGGTTACAGAATTGGGACTGGGACTTAGCTCTGCTGACTTTGGGTTCAGGATGTTTTGTCTTCAGTCACAGCCCTTGGGGTGGAACAATACAGCGCGCGTTGCACAGGTGTGATTTAGGAGTCTGGGGGATCCCTGGGGGGCTCAGCGGTTCAGCACCGCCTTAGGCCCAGGGCCTGATCCTGGAGACCCGAACGAGTCCCAGATCCCACGTGGCTCCCTGCAGGGAGCCTGCTTCTCCCTCTGCCGGTGTCTCTGCCTCTCTCTCTCTCTCATGAATTAATTAATCAATTTAAAAAAATAAAAGAGCCTGCGCCCTGTCTGGGAAGCAGAGAGTACCTAAGCTGGTGCTCGACACACATTCCAGCGTGTTTTCGAGAAGCCAAGGACGAAAGCCGCCAAGGTACTTCATTTAGATGTGATTTCCCTCTTTTACGCCCGCAGCACTCGACGGTTCTCCGAAGCCGTGGACCTGGCACCACACCTCCGTGTGCCGGTCCGGGCCGCCTCCAGCCTCATCCCCGGGCAGCGGTCCCCGCCCCCCACGTCCGCGGAGCCCAGCACGGGGTCCTAAAGGCAGTGGACGCCCCCGAAGTGCTAACGCAGGCCTCCGTCTGAGGCAGGGGCGCCCTGTGTCGGCAGGGAAGGCAGGTGCCCACCTGCGTCCACGCGAGCTCCCCCAGCATCCCTGGGTTGGGCGCTGGGTTCTGAGCAAAGGAGATGGTTCGGGGGAGGCCGGGGCGCCGCTGCGGGGTCTGCGGGGTCCCCGGCTCGGTCCAGGCGCTCACACTGGCTTTTCCTGCCGGGGCTGCCTCCGCCGGCGCCGGCTTCCCAGTTGCCGGGCCTGGGTCGTCCGGTCCGCCCCGCCGCTGGGGAACGGGGCGGGGGGGAAGGGGAGGGCGCGCCCCGCCGGGGTCCGGGCAGGTGCAGGGCGGGGTGCAGGGCGCCAGGGCCCCGCAGGGAGCGAGTCCCGGCCCGCGTGGTGGTTGAATTCGGGGCGGGGCGGGGCGGGGCGGCGAGCCGGGAAGGTCGCGGGGGAAAGCGGCCCGAACGCCGGTGCCCTGGGCAAGACGATGAAACGGCTGCTTCCCGGAGAGTGCCAGGAGCGGCGGTAAAGGGAGCCGGGCTGCTAAGTGACCCGGCGGAAGCGACACGCTCCCATGCCGTTAGTTCAACGGTTCCCGGCCGGAAAGGAGAAGAAGGAAAAAACAAAACAAAACAACAACAAAAAACACCAAAAACAAAAACCCAAGCCCACGAAGCTTCCTGTCCCTTTAAAAATGGCGGCTCCGCACCGGCCCGCTCTGCTATTGGCTGCCCGAGGGGGCGGGGCGGGGCGGGGGCGGGGCGAGCGCCGTGGAGCCCCGCCCCCTACGGCAAGCCGGACAGAGCAAGATGGCCGCCGCCGAGGAGGACTGTGCTGCCGGTGCCGACGCGGACCGGGAACTGGAAGAGCTCCTGGAAAGTAAGAGCTCGTGGGACGAGAGGCCCGACGCGGGCGGTCGTGAGAGCTCGCTCGAGGGCGAAGCGAGCCCCGAGGTCCTGGGGGCGGGGCGGGGCGGGGCGGGGAGGCTCCCGCAGGGTTGGCGGGGGCGGCGGGTCTCCTTGCGACCCCGGAGCAAGCCCCTGGGCCGCGCGGGCCGCGGTCTCCGTCCTCGGCGGCGGGTCAGACCGGCGGTGCCCGGGCCGCAGGGGAAGCGGCAGCGCGCGGGACGGCCCGACCCCAGCCCGCCTTGGCCTCGTCGCGCAGGTGCCGGCACCGAACTTCCCGCCGGCAGCGGCTTTCGGCGCCTGGGTCGGGGGCCGCCGCTCACCTGCCCTTCGCCATGTCAGACCCCCCCCCGCGCCCCCACTCAGGCCGCATGTTCTTTCCTGCCCGCCCCGGCCCTCCCGTCCTCGGGTGGTTGCTTGCCCACAAGGGCCGGTGTCGTACCCCCCACCCCCCTCCTCCCCCAGCCTGGCAGGCGGGATGGCGGTGAGGACTCAGGTGTTCAGGGCAGAGGTGAACACGTTCTGTCTCCTGCCCAGTCACAGAGACGTGGGCAGACAGAAGGACGGTCAGACACGGTGAGGAGCGCCAGGTGGCTCTGTGCTTTGGCACACGGCTATCTGCAGGGGCGGCTATCTGCAGGGGCGAGCCGGCTGCGGGGAGCTCCGGGAGCTCCGCCCCCCTCCCCGGCAGGGCTGAGGCAGGGCTGAATCGGAGGGTAAGAGGAGAGACCTTAGTGCCCTCCGGGGAGTCCGGTGTGCTAGCCCTCAAGTCTGTGCCACACCAGGACCCAGGGGACGCCGGGTGGAACATCATGTGGCTGCCGCTTCCTTTGCCAAAAATCATTCTCTGGAGGCCTCCAGAGTGAGTCCAGGGGTTGAGGGACATGTGTGCTCTCTGCCCTTAGACGTTTATGTGGGATTTCTGGGAAATCGTTACAGTGTGGCAAGGAGGCCTCTGTGTAGTGGGAGATGAGTTTGCACAACTCCTAACTCCCTCCTCCCGGCCCTGGGAGAGATGCCTCCTCTTCCCCCCAAGGGATTCCTTTTACCGTTGATCACCATAAATTGGGTGGGTAGATGAGGAGGGAGGTGGGGAAGCTGATTGAAGGGTGGGCCAGGAGAGGGAGACTCAAAAAAAAAATTTTTTTTAGGAAGGTTGGCACATTGATTGTTCTCCTAGTGCTTTGCCCAGAACTGCCCCCCCCCCACCGCAGCCTTGCATCCTCATCCACCCCCCAACACACACACTGTCTCTTGTCTCTGAAGGTGCTCTTGATGATTTCGATAAGGCCAAACCCTCCCCAGCACCCCCTCCTACCACCACGGCCCCTGATGCTTCGGGGGCCCAGAAGAGATCGCCAGGAGACACTGCCAAAGTATAAATTCCACCCTCTTAAGGGACGGGAGGGGATGGGCGTGCATCTCTGAGCAGACGTGGGGCAGGCCCCTGTGGGTTGGAGTGGATGGGGGGAGGAGGCCTCGGCCTTAGAGTGCTGAGCGCTCTTGCAGGCCTCAGTCCTGGTAAACAGGGACTTTCCATGATGGAGAGGTGGGTTCTCAAGGCAGTTCTTTGAAAAAAAAAAAGAGTAGGTTTACATGATTGTTTTGGGAATGCCACCCTATACCCTTTCCTCAGTGGCCAGATGCCTTTTTTACTGTTCTCCTTAAGAGAGGTAGTTAGAATGTCCAGTGGAGGCGGGCGGGAGGGCAGCACTGCATTTCCCAGAGCCACTGCCTGTGGCTTGTGTCAGAGGGGTGCCAAATAAGAGATGCATTTTGGCCACCCCTTCCCTGCAGGATGCCCTCTTCGCCTCCCAAGAGAAGTTTTTCCAGGAACTGTTCGACAGCGAGCTGGCTTCCCAAGCCACTGCAGAGTTCGAGAAGGCAATGAAGGAGTTGGCTGAGGAAGAGCCCCACCTGGTGGAGCAATTCCAGAAGCTCTCAGAGGCTGCAGGGAGAGTGGGTGAGAAGGCAGCCCAGAGGGCTGGAACTCTGTGAACCAAGTCCTGACATCTGTGTTGCCTGAGAACACTAGGTCTCTTAGTAAAGCTGATAGCACTCATCATATCACTGCCGTGGGGAGGGGCCGGGAGGCGGGAAGAGGGATGGGAACATGGTATGATGAAAGGGAGGAGGCTGAAAAGACATTGAAAAGATGACTGAAGACTGACCATTTTAAAGGTCATAGTGTTGTGGGTGTCATCGTGGAGAATAAACTGACATGCACAGTTCGTGTAGCTTCATAAAAATGACTAGGAACCACAGAGGATTCAAGAGATTGGTGTGCTAGTGATCCACTAGTAAATGTTCTACATCTATATCTACTATATAGAAGATATCTATATCTTCTATATCTATAGATCTATAGCTATATCTGTATCTACTTGATAACCAAGTCAGTCTGAGTAGGCAGACAGCTAAAATCTAAAATGGCTTTTTATTTTAAGATTATTTATTTATTCATGAGAGAGAGAGACAGAGACACAGGCAGAGGGAGAAGCAGGCTCCTTGCAGAGAGCCCGATGTGGGGCTCGATCCCAGGACCCCGGGGTCATGCCCTGAACCAAAGGCAGATGCTCAACCACTGAGCCACCAGGTATCCCCTAAAATGGCTTTCTTGATCTTTCTTAGGCAGTGATGCGACATCCCAACAAGAATTTACGTCTTGCCTGAAGGAGACACTAAGTGGACTTGCCAAAAATGCTACTGATCTTCAGGTGAGGGAAAGGGGTGGGGTCCACAAGGGACCCCTCAGGCATATCAGCAACAGAGTCTCAAAAGACAGACTTTGTTGGGTAGCATCTAAAGTCTGTTCCTGCCACACTGTTTTGTTGCAAGTGTAAATCGTTTTCTCCCGCCTGAAAGGGTGGTAAGCATCTCAAGAAGGCAATATACATATCTTCCTCAACTTATGATGGGGTTACGTCCTGATAAATCCATCCTAAGCTGGAAATAACATAAGTTGAAAATGCATTTAATACACCTACCCTACTGAACGTGACAGCTTAGCCTCGCCTACCTTAAACACTACAGAACACTTACACAAGCCTAGAGTTGGGCAGAATCATCCACCACAAAGCCTATTTTCTAATAAAGTATTGAGTATCTCATGTAATTTATTGAATGCTGTGCTGAATGTGAAAAACAGAACGGTTGTAAGCAGATAGAATGGCTGTTAGTGCATCGGTTGTTGACCCCGGTGATCACGTGGTGGCCTGGGAGTCACAGCTGCTGCCCAGCATCACAGGAGAGTATCATCTGCATTTCGCTAGCCTGGGAAAAGATCCAAACTCAAAATGTGAAGTACAATTTCTACTAAATGTGCATTCCTTTCACACCATCATGAAGTTAAAAAATGGTCCTAAGTTAGGGACCATCTGTATTTGCTCACCTCTCTCCTGGCCTTTCTAGAACTCAGGCATGTCAGAGGAAGAACTGACCAAGGCCATGGAAGGGCTGGGCATGGACGAAGGGGATGGGGAAGGGAACATTCTCCCCATTATGCAGAGTATCATGCAGAACCTACTGTCCAAGGATGTGCTGTACCCGTCACTGAAGGAGATTACAGAAAAGGTTTGTGGACTTAGATTTCTGCTTTCCTTCTTTGTTTTCCATTGCATCAACCCCTGTGGGCTACTTTGTCTGCTAGAGCATACAGAGCTAGAGTAACTCCAGTGCATGATCCATTCACTATTTTGTTTATTTGGAGCAGGAGAGCTGGGACGAGCTGTGTCTCTGGGAATAAAGGTACCACACCGAAGATGTTTAAGGTAGAAAGGGAAGTCCTTCAGCTCTCATTCCTGTAATCTGGTTCGAGACTGTTGCTGACCAACCCTTTCTTACATAGTTGTAATAACTTCATTTGTTTCTCCAACAAGGTTTCACTGAGGATTTACTGATTTATGCTACAGACAGTTTAAGAGTAGTGTGAAGGATGGTCCCTGCTGTCAAAGAGCTTACGGTTTCACTGAAGAAACAAGATACAGGAATAGTAGCTCTTCAGTGCCACGAGTGGTCAAGTGTGATGTGAACAGTGTGGACCAGGAGACGATAGACCAGGGTCTGGGTGGACCAAATCCAACTCAAGCTAAGAATGGTTCTTACACAGTTAAAGCTTGTAAAGTCAGAACAGAAAAAAGAAAGGATATGTGACAGATCACATATGACCTGTAAGGGCTCAAACAGTAGTGGTAGCACAGCCAGGTGATGTGGTTGGAGTCAGTGCTGCTTCTCACACTGTACTCCCTTCTTTAGTATTTCCTTCCTCAATATCTTCTTCGTTTCTTCAAGTTCTATTGTTTTTTATATTTAATTGCCCTTCCCAGGCCATTGTTCATTAATTCTTCCCCACCCATTCTCTCTTCCCTTAGTATCCAGAATGGTTGCAGAGTCACCGGGAATCTCTTCCTCCAGAACAGTTTGAAAAATATCAGGAGCAACATAGCGTCATGGGCAAGATATGTGAACAGTTTGAGGCAGAGACCCCCACAGACAGTGAGGCCACTCAGAAGGCTCGTTTTGAGTTAGTGCTGGATCTTATGCAGCAGGTAAGGCCTCCCCTTGCCGTCTGCCTCCTAGTGCTGTGTGTTTGGGTGTTCAGTACCTCCTCAGGTATCAGGGAGGCATGCCGCACTGCCACACCTGGGTGGAGGAGGGTGCCCAAGCGAGGTCACATAGCCTGGTCCTCAGAAGAAAGGTGAGAGACCATGGCTCAAATTCTTAATTGGGGTGCTGTATTGTCTTCCAGGATTTTCTCTTTCTCAAATTCCTCTTATTTTCCAGCTACAGGATTTGGGCCATCCTCCAAAAGAGCTGGCTGGGGAGATGGTGAGTATATGATCCCCTAGATTTGAATCTGAGTCCAAGTTTCTGGAATTCTGTAATCGTTAATGATTGCATGTGAGGTGATCACCATGGCTACAGGGGAGGTACCGTCAGAAGCTCTCATTTGAAGTAAGAACAATAATCTCAGTCCCCCCGTCTCTTCTCCAGCCTCCTGGCCTCAACTTTGACCTGGATGCCCTCAATCTGTCAGGCCCACCAGGTGCCAATGGCGAACAGTGTCTGATCATGTGAAACACAACACGTGTTTTGTCCCTGATTCCCAGCCCTGGGGAACATCTGGAGTCAGCAGGACCACTGGGACCTGAGGCTGGAGTGTCATCTGCGAGAGCAGTCTGCCCTCTGCCCTCTGTCATCCCAGCTGAGATCGTGCCATACCAGCTGAGGCTTTTACTCTCTCTTTCTAGTAATAAGGCCTATTGTGCAGGCCATTTCTGTGAGCCCCATCCATGTGGTTTCTGCTGCTAGCAAAGGCCCAGCTACCTACCAGATGAAGGAAGGCACCCCTTGTGGGGCATGCACTTTCTTCCCTCCCAAATAATGTTATATATGGCCACACAAATGTTCACTTTTGCATCCAGGGTCTTCGTGCCTTGTCTCTACTCCCTCTTGGACCTGGGGAGCAGAGACAGAGTCCTGGGACTCTGTGTTTCTCTAGTTCTTTGGGGCAGGGCCTTTGGGAATGAATGGGGAGAAACTTCACCTGGGCTGGGGCTCTAGGTCTGTCACCATTCCCTCTTGCCTTCGGACAGACCGTTGTGAACTCTGTGAAGGAAACGGAGGTGGGGGCTTTTGCATCTCATCACAGTAGGACTGAAAGAGAAGCCCTGGGATTCTCCTCTCTCTGGGTGCTGAGCCTTCAGCTCCTTGTTCCAGCCCGAGAACTCAAGGTGCTACCTTGGTTCTTTGTACAATGCTGTGTGATCTGGGTGAAACCAGCCCTTGACCTTCCTGCGCCCCTGCCTCCTCATCTTCTCTCTTTTTAAATACCTGTTTATTCCAACTCTTCTCTGAACCCAAGCTGTGACAAAGAAGGGCCATCCACCACTCTCATTGGCACCTCTCCCTGGAAAACAGATAATTATAGTGTCAGGTCTAGGAAACGAATGACTGTTCTTCCCCAGATCCAGATATGTTCTGGCTTATTTGAGACCTCTGATTTCTTTGAATCCTGTCCCTTGATTAAGCAAGTGGCTTGGGAACGGGAGTGGGGTGCAGCCTGGGTCCTTTTTCTTGACTAATAAATATTCTGATTGAAGAGTGTGGCCTGTTTTTCATTCAGGTCTTTCTCTGATCTTCCTCACCTTCTGTAAGCTGCCATGTGAAGAATGTTTGCCCGCTAGTTCTGGCTTCTACCACCACCCCCCTTCCTCAGCTCAGTCTGCACCTCAGTTGGCAATGGAGACTGAGTCGCCATCTTGCCTCATTCCCTCTGGGTGTTTCAATCTGGGAAGCCCTTCAGTTGGTACCATACCCTAACATTTGGTATTCTTATTGTTAGTAATATATCGTTAACATGGTATTTTTTTTGTTACTTTTTTTTTTTTTTTTTTTTTAGTTGACCTTGCCCTTTTCTTGGGGAGCCAGTCCATGGACATTGGCTGCCACGTGTCAGTGGATACTCTGGTCAGACCAGCTGGCATCCCGTTTCTGCACTTGGAAGATAATGCACAGAGCAAGTGTACATTCAGCCCGAGACACTTTGTGCTCCTGACATGCCACTTACCTCAGATTAAGCTTTTCACCCCTTAAAATGATCCTGCATGTCCCAGGGTATTGGCAAGGAAGGAATACTGTGAGGGCCTCAAGCTGTTTGGGAAAGTCCTGCTACTTTACCTCTTTTTTTTTTTTTTTAAGATTTTTTTTTTTTATTTATTCATGAGAGACAGAGAGAGAGAGAGGGAGGCACAGAGACACAGGCAGAGGGAGAATCAGGCTCCACACTGGAAGCCCGACGCGGGACCCGATCCTGGGTCTCCAGGATCACGCCCTAGGCTAAAGGCGGCGCTAAACTGCTGAGCCACCTGGGCTGCCCCCAGTACTGTACCTTATCAGAGTAGGGAAGAGTCCTGGTCCCAGGCTGAGACTCCTCTACTCTGGAGGAGGTGGGAGCAGTGTAGGTGGACTTGCGATGGTGGGCACAGGGCCTCAATGGCCAAAATTCTCTCCTAGCTCTAGCCAAAAGGTGGACAAGGATAGAGAGGAAAGGGGAAGAACAAACCCTGTCCCTTGAACCAAGTGCCTACCATACTGGCAGTTTTCTTTTACAAATTGTCACTCCTGCTGGCCTAGTCAGGGCTTACTCCAGGAATCTAACAGATGCCCTAGTCCAGTTTACTTTAGTTACCAAGCCATTTGTTTTCATTTCATTGAACATAAGCAAATTCACCTCCATTACGCTCTGTTCCAAAAGTTACTATTTGAGTGATTCTGGGACTCATCAAAGGACAGAGCAGTCCTTCTCAAACTGTCTGTGGTAAAGGACCAGGCTTTTTGCTTTATAAATATCCAGTCCTTTGTACCCTAAGATGTGTTCCTGTTGCCTGTGACAAGTGTGCAGTTCACACGGTACACAGCCCACTACACAGGCTTGGCCACACCTGAATTGACCACACCCCTTTCAGGAGAAGTCCAGTGATTAGGCACCTGGATATTACAGCAGGGTCACAATGCTCAAAGGTTTCTAAACACTCAGTTTCTAACTCATCATGTCATAGACTGTTAAAAAAAAAGTGTTCATGGACCAGTACAAGTCTTGAACCATCTTGAGTAGCACTGCTCTGGGCCCCCCCCCAGTTTCCATAGTTCCATCAGCCGCACTGATACATTTCTGTACCTGTTCTCTCTCACTTGAGGATTGCTTCTAATGAACTTTTTTCTTTGGCAAGGTATTTCACTGTAAAGATATTTATAGTATTTTTCTAGCCTTTTCTCTTGCTTGAAAATAGCCATCACAGAGTTTAGGTTTAAGCTGTATATGGAGTTTTTATGCCACTCTCAAACTTTAAAGGAGGTGCCCTTTTGTTCCGAAATTCTGTATGTTAGATAATAAATTTGTAGTTGTTTGGATGGTTTAATGAATTAAGAATTGAATTCACATAGAATTTGTGATAATGATATTTTAGCAAGGGCCCCAAGAGGTGCTTATAAATAAGCTGTTGAGATGGCTTTGGGGAGCTTGGAAACAATGATAGCTTGCAGTAAATGAAGCTTAGATGATAGACCATATAAGAAATGATCAAAAGGTTTAGAGGAAGTGGGCATGCAAGAATGAATGTATATTACACTGGAAAACCCACCACTGACCATGTTCCACAGGAAGGCCTAGGGACTTTTTTTTTTTTTTTTTTTTTTTTTTTAAGGAAAGGCACTAATGAATGGGTCACCAGCATCTTTGAGAAGTTTAGAAGTGGCTCTGTGGGTGGAGGCTGATGGAAGGGGATGTTTAAAAACTGGTTTCCTTTAGAACAGTGAGGATGATAGGATCCTGGCATAGCAGAGGCCAAGTGGCAACACTTAACTCTCAGATGCAGGGTGGGTGGATTCCCAAAAGGGCAGTGTGTTCAAAGTGGAGATGGCTAATGGAACGTGGGTAGTTGTAGGGACCAGATAAATGGACAGCCAAGGAATGTATTGATTTATAGTTAATTAAGAGAGATGAAGAATGATTGAACAGAAGGAGGTCAGTAACTTCAACAAAAAATCAAAATTCCTTGCCTGTTTCCTACGCCTAGGATAGTTCTCAGACTCAACCTATCGTCTGAAAGAACCATATACGTAATTAACCATTGGGGAAGATTACTAGATTTTTTAAGTTGGAAAACTGGGATTTAACTCTGATACCCAGGGACCTAAATTAGCACCGCCACAGCTCTTCCCTCCTTACACCCTATCCCTATTGCAACAGGGAAATATGGGATCAGAATGGAGTGCTTGCCCAACTCAGTCTCACAGTGGGTCCAAAAAACCACTTTATGATCATCTTTTCAGTTTCCAAATGTATAATCAGAATGGACATATTTGGCAGTTGGTAGAAAGTCCCAATAGAAGTCCCTGGGGGAAAAAAAAAAAAAAGGGATCCCTGGGTGGCGCAGCGGTTTGGCGCCTGCCTTTGGCCCAGGGCGCGATTCTGGAGACCCGGGATCGAGTCCCACATCGGGCTCCCGGTGCATGGAGCCTGCTTCTCCCTCTGCCTATGTCTCTGCCTCTCTCTCTCTCTCTGTGACTATCATAAATGAATAAAAAATAAAAATAAAAATAAAAAATAGAAGTCCCTGAAACTGTACCCTCACTCTGCCAAGATAGAAAATAAAAAATAATATTGTATCCTGGGGAAAATGACAGTGATTAGTTCAATGCTTAAAAAGGTAGAAGGATGCAGGGATGTGGGTTTCCATCTTTGCCTCCTTTAGTTTCACCTGTCTGGCTCTTGTAACTACTGAATTGCCGTGGACTACAGCAAACTACAGTAGGTAGTTGTCCAATTGCAATATTGTGTTGGGTGTGTTTTCTCTACTAGAGAAAGTACTACAGCTTTTGTCACAGGTATACGGTTGTTAGTTAATGTGTACTGTCTGACCCTTTACAGAAAGTTTGCTGACTCTGTGTTCTAGTGAATATGTTTTTCAGTACCCATTAAAGAGTATCAGAAGCAGTTTGCATTTGCAAGTGGTGGGCACCAGTGTATACTCACAATCCTGACTAGTGCTTTGTCCATTCTCCCCCTTTGACACAGTGTAGTCCGAAGGGAGCTGGACATTCTACAGAATATCACATTTGTATGCTTTATTAAGCTTACGCCACTCAGGAATTAAGGATATGCTAATCGGACCTGATGAACAAGCAGTGTCAAATGTCAAGTGTTCTGGATTCCTTGATGTGACACAGACTCCAGAGGGTAGAAGATAAATCCTGTAAAACTACAGGGTCCTGCACATTGGTTAAGTTTTTAGGAGTCCAGTATTCTGGGACATTCTCTGTAAAGATTAAGTTATTGCATGTTATGTGCTTTACTGCAAGAAAGAAGCACAGTGTCTTGGTAGGCCTCTTCTTTTTGGAGGCACCATATTCTGTACTTGGGAATGTGGACTACAAGACCAGCCTTTGCAGCAGATCCAGGCTAAGATACAGGCAGCCCTGCTGCATGGGCCAAATAGCTTGGAAAGTTCTATGGTACTGAGGTATCTGTGGTAGGGAAAGAGGGTGTGTGGATTCTATGGCAATCCACAGTAGGAGAGTTCCAGCATAGATCTCTAGGGTTCTGGAATAAGGTTATGCTGTCTGCAGTAAAGAAAGTTTCATCATTTGAAAAGCATCTCCTGGCATATGATTAAGCCCTGATAGAGAGTCAGTACCTAACCACAAAATGTCAAGTGACTGTGATCAGTTGGCCATATAACCAGTTGGTTATTGTGAGACCCGTCAAGTCATAAGATTGGGTACAATAGTAATCCATCTTACAGTGGAAGTGGTACATTTGAGAAGAAGCCCAAACACACTTGGTGAGCACAAGTAAGTTTATCCTTGGTGAACAAGGGTCCCCAGACCTCCATATTACCTACATCTGTTGCACTGGTGGCTTTGTAAGAATTCCTACAACCATTTGACAGAGGAGGAAAAAAATCTAGGTCTGGTTTGTGGGTGAGTTGGTTTGATATGTAAGGGCAATCCAAATAAGGACTACTGCTTCTCAGCAGCCCCATCTGGAGTGGTCTTGAAAGTCAGTGAGGAGAAATTCTCAACCAGTAGGTCTTTTTATGTTTTTTTTTTTTAATTAAATTAACTTATTTTTGAGAGAGAGCCCGAGCAGGGGGAGGGGCAGTGGAAGAAGCAGGTTCCCTGCTGAGCAGGGAGCCCAACTTGGGGCTCAATTCCAGGACCCTGGGATCATGACCCGAGCTAAAGGCAGATGCTTAATGGAGTCACCCAGGCGCCCCAACTCGCAGGTCTTTAGGCAATGTAGCTGATCATCCACTTTGTCTGGAAAGAGAGAAGTGGCCTAAGGCAAGGGTATACATGAATCAGCTGGTGGGCTGGTTGGTCAAGGGCCCAGAAGGTACAAGATAAGAAAATGTGCAAGAAGTTCTGGTGAAGAGCCTCTCGGTGAGGCTGTGAGAGTGGGACTTGTCACAGTATTCACCAGAAAAGTGTTAACTAATAACCAGAGGGACAGGTTAATTTAGTCAGGAGCCTCAGCTAGCCCAGTTCTTGGTTCTTGCACAGTGTGCTCATGATTCAAATCACTGTGTTGGCAGAGAT